TCTCGGCGACCGTCCCTACCACCTCCCTCAACGGACCTGCCTAAACCGCCGTCGCCGCTGTCGCCACTCGTCGTCATAAAAGCACCCGATTGGCCATAATAGAGAGAACACCCGCAGCGAAAGAGAGAGAGAGAGAGAGAGAGAGAGAGAGAGAGAGAGAGAGAGAGAGAGAGAGAGAGAGAGAGACAGACAGACAGACAGACAGACAGACAGAGAGACAGACAGAGAGAGAGAGAGAGAGAGAGAGAGAGAGAGAGAGAGAGAGAGAGAGAGAGAGAGAGAGAGAGAGAGAGAGAGAGAGAGAGAGAGAGAGAGAGAGAGAGACGCACACACGCACACACACGACGCACGGTGCCTGCACTTTTCTTTCCCGCCACAACGCATCACACCTCAACGCCTCCGCCCGCGCATGCGCAGGGTGGCGTGTGTTCTCCATCATATTTTTTTTTTTTTATCATCAGTCTTCCAGGAAGGGGCCGTCTACCTACCGTCGAACCGCCCTGCCGACCTACCGTTTGATACCGCTGCCACTCGTATCGACCCAACCGCTGAGGACCGCTTGTGCTCTGCCACTTTTGGACTGCTTGTCACGTGTAAGAGCCATTGGTGGCACTTGCTTCAAACCGGCTTCACCCCCGAGCGGGGCTGCCTGCTCCTCCTCAAGACCGGGAGCGGCTGCTACCCATCCCCGCCGCCACCCAATCGAGTGTCAGTTTTTCTGCCCCTCCCCCGGACGCCAGAGGCTCCGAGCCCATTGCGTGGCCACAGAGCACCCAACAGTGTCCTTCTGGCCATCATCAACGAGCTCCCGTCTCCCCCCTTTACCCCTTTTCTATACCCTCCCCTCTGCGGCTCGCAGTTTGCACCCGACTCCTCCGGCATTCCCCACCCAGGTCCTGTGCTCATCCCAACCACCCATCTTCCTACCCCCTTGGCCCTTGCCCCTGCCCCCGGTCTCCCCGATGCGACCTTCTATGCCATTCCATCTCTCTCTTCCCCGCCCTGTCAAAGGCGTCGCCTCATCGACCTGCCAAATTCCTCCCTTTTCCACTCCGTGAACGCAGATTCTGGACAGAGCTACTGGCCTTGTCGCCCGTCCTTCACCATCGGACTCAAGGGGCCACGCTTCCGATACCATGGCTGAGCGTGCCAATATTACCAGTGCGCGCGTCAAGCGTGCAGACTTGGCCAGTCGCTCAATGCCCAATTTCCGTCACACCCGTGCTGCATTTTCCAGTTCTGACTCCCCGCCATCTGAACCCAAGCAGCGCAGACTTCAACGTGCCCACCATATCAACGAACCCCCGCTACGCCACGCCTCGCCAGACCCCGCGCCTCTACGCCGTGCCTCACTGGTTCCGCCCCAAGCAACCACCTCAACCCCAACAGCCGCCACAAGTGTGCATGCCCGCCGTGGTCGCCTCTCCGCGCCAACCCAGAGCGACGCCCAGGCCTATACCCAATCCAAGCCGTCCGCGTCTTCGCCCAACATCGATCGCCGCAGTCTCTTACGCCGCCCCTCGGCGCCCGCCATGATGCCAGGCAAATCCAATGCCTTGGAACAAGCCTCCATGGCCTTTCTCCTTCACCCTGATTCCCATGCAAGCCGGTCTCGTCCTTCAACCTCCCAGTCCCGGGCCGCAAGAGCAGAAGCCCGTAGCCTCAAGGCCCGGTCCATGATCAACATGCGGTCGGCCCCGCATAGCCGTACCGCCAGCCGCCCCCACAGCCCCGTCGACTGGGAGAACATGGCCCCATACCACCGCCCCCGCTCTAGCCATCGCTCCCCCGAGCAGCAGAGCAGTCACATCACCTCTAAACAATTTGAGGCGCTCTCTGCCCTCCAATCCCAGCGCGAGCAACGCTTCAGCAAAGAACAAGCTTTTGAGCGTCAAGGCTGGTCCGAGCTCAATCGCCGGGCCCAAGAACAGTAAGTTTCCACTGCACCGCTGGTGTTGGTCCTAAATCTAAAGTCGGTGACTTTTGGGACGGGATGCAGCACGCCTCATTTCGAACCCCATGAGCTGACAGTGCCTCGCTTCTCACTACTGGTCCCCTTGAACCTCCTCCCCCCCGCCCGCGCGCCACAACAGCATGCTTGTACAGCGATCTATGGACGATGGCCTCTTCTCCGACCGCAACTTTGTCTCGCTCCCGGCCTCTCCGACTCGTACGTTCACTTGAACTGCGTGCTACCCAGCTTCCGTACCTTCCTCACTCGCTCTTTTTGCTGACCCTTCTACCCCCAGGTGCCCGCTCTCGCTCGCCCAGCCCATATCCTTGGGCCCAGCTTGGTAGCTCCCAAGCCAACAGCCGATCCGCCTCACTCGCCGAATCGGACCCATCCTCGCCGTCCCCTTCAAACTCCCCCTCGCCTGTCCGTTATCAACCAACAACCAGTTCCTCAACAACCGGGCCCCAACCCCCGTCAACTAATGTGCGCGACGCCGCGTCCGGCTCGAGCGATACTGCGAGTCGCTCCCGCCGTCGTTCGCGTCACGCGTACGTGACTTCAAGCCCCATGACACCAGAACTATCACCCGGCATTGCCGCGCTCAATCGTTTACAAAGCCCCGCCATGCTCTCGTCTACTGATGCGCGCTCGACCACCTCCAAATCCTCATCTCCCTCGGAACTTTTACCTCGTCATCGCTCTTCCTCCTTGGAGGACGTGTCAGGCCATGCGCTCTCGCAGGAGGAACGCCGGAGCCGCATGACATTCAAGAGCGTTCCTGCTAGTCCTAACCTTGCTCGTCGCGGCTCCAAATCGCTACAGCCTCATCCCCCCAATCGCGCTAGCGCTACACCCAGTGATGCTGGCATCGATCAGTGCAGCCCAGGGACTGAACGCCCACATCAACCCGAGCCTCCTCGTCGACCGCGACCCTCTGGCTCTGCACGCGCCACCCGTGTGGCCACATCCTCGCGCCGACGTAGTCTGCCCACGCCACCTCGGACGCAACTGCCCACGCCCACGCCCCTTAGTGCGCTCGGTCGTGGCTCCAGTCAGTCAATCGGTGACATTGATCTCGGCAGGCATTCCCCCTCGGGCTCTTCGGACCACAGCCGTCGACCACGGTTTCGCAGCGACCCCACAACGGTGCAGCTCGACGTACTGGGCGAATCACCACTTGATGCTCGTGCGGAAGCCCCCGAGCCAAGCGTCTCCCCCTCCGATCATGTCCTTGTTCAACCAGCTGAACGTGCCTTGCAAGTCTGTGAGGGCTACCGTGCAGCACGAAATCTTCTCAAAAGTCAATCGCAATGCAGCTTTACCCGTGCATCCGTCCTTCAAGACTTCAATCCAGAGGAGTGCTTCCGCACGTATGTAGCCTCTCGTTGCTGGCAGCCGCCTCTTGCCATTTGATTGTGCACTCCAAAGCCGCTCGCGTCTCATCACAATTTGGCCACCCTTCTTTTTCTTGAATTTTAACAGGGCGCTTGAGCAGAAAAGTGGCTCGACCACCCGCTTGGGAGGCGAGACCTGTGCTGATTTGATCGAAGACTGATGCTCCCTGCCGTGTGCATTTGCCTACTTTGCCTGTTTCTGGATGATACCACGCACCCCTTGCTTTATTCCTCCAGGTGCACTTGATAGCTTTAGATAAGGGCGCATATCGCCATTGTGTTTTATCACATACATACACACACACACACACACACACACACACACACACACACACACACACACACACTCTCTCTCTCTCTCTCTCTCTCTCTCTCTCTCTCTCTCTCTCTCCCCCGCCCGCCCCGCCCGCCTCGCGGGACTGAGCGTTTGTTAGAACGGGTTGGAGCTGTGCTCCCCCGGTCTTGATGAAGCGTAACCGTGTGGAGTTTTGTACATACGCCTGGGCGCAATATACACAAGTTGGTCTCAATTTGTGGGACCCAAAACTCGGGATATATCAAATCGAAATCACCTAAATTCGTGGTCACCTAGACAACAACAAAAATCAAAATCAAAAAGACAACAACGGGGATTAAAATCAAAAAAAAAAAGCGTTTCAGAAAATCAGGAGGAGAACAATCAAGGTGCAAAGAGTCAATCAAAACAGCAAATATTCGACGAGTTGAATCATCATCAGGGTTTGGCCCACTTGGCGGTCCGCTCTGCGGCTTGCTGACATTGTAAAACAGCACCTTATGGTACACGAGGCAAACAGGGCAATGACAGTGGACGCACCAGAAGCACGGTGCCAATAGAAAAAAAAAAAAAAAAAAGAAAGTAAAAGAAAAAAGAAGAGACGGAGGAACACGAGAAGGAGAGCAAGCAAAACCAAAGAAAGAGTAAGTATAAATAACGAAGACTTGACCGAGTCTTCAATAGCTTCTATCATCTAAAGTTCAATAGCTTCTATCATCTAAAGTGCCTGATCTGGGCGCTAGAATACAGAAATACATCAACGTGAGGGGAGCCCAGGTGAGAGTACGAGAGGTTGTGAACAAGGTGGTCGAGACAATATCGTACCGGGGGCAGGCGACGGGCCGGCGAATTCTATTGCGTGAACATGATGTGGCAGCACATCAGGGCCATTGCAGTCAAATGAGCACAAGCATAACCAGTCTGTCCCCAACGCGCGCTGCTCAAGTCGCAAACTCACCCGACCCCCATTTTTGTTTTTCAAAAACTGCTGCCGCATCTCAAGAGTCCGCTGTGATATGGAGGCACGGCGCTCTCGGCGGGATGGATCGCTTTGCGAGACACTCGTGCGTCGCTGCAAGGCCTGAGCGCAAATGCAAGCCAAGGTAAACACTGATCAGATACAAAGGTGGTGCCAAACAGAGCTTCAGGCCGACACTTGGAAGCATGGCTGTGATGGCAAGAAAAACGCACTGCGCTGATTTCAGCTTCGACGGCTTGCTCCTCGGCCTCAAGTTCGGCACGGCGCTGAGCATGCTGCACTGCACGCTTGCGCCGCTCAGCTTCTTGGAGTCGCTCTGCAGTTTGCCATTGGGCCATCAAACACAGAACAGTGATTTCAAACAACGGCGAAACCGACAGGACAGATTATAACACCAGGTGGAGCACCCCTCCAGGCCTTCGCCAACACTAGATGGCTTACCTTGCTCCATGTGCTGCCGCTGCACTTCTTCAAGACGCTTCTGCTCAAGCGCCATGCTATATGAACGCTGGCGCGCTTGCTGGGTAGCGAGCTCTCGTCGCTCCTGCTCAAGCATGATCTGCATACTTTCGCGACGCTGCGTACTCGGCGTAGGTTCTTGTGGAACAACGTGCTCATGCGACGCAGTGCGGGTGGGGCGCACTTGAGATTCTGGGAGGGCAGCAAAGGAATCAGACCGGTCTGATGTTGATGGTGCATCCTCCTTTGCATCCCGTGTGTCACGGGGGAGCTGGGGCGCAGCCATACTGGGCATTTGCGGTGCTTCGCTTTGCAGAACTGGTCCAGTGTGCGCTGGCCCAACATGCGGATTTTCAATGCCTGCAAGATGTGCGTTGGCCGCATCGTGATCGTGCTGGGACAATGTTGAAGCGCCTGAGAGCTCTCGATCCTGAAACTGATCGTGACCCTGATCCTGAGATTGACCGTGATCTTGGGGCTGAGGCTGAGCCGATTTGTGAACTGATTCTTGGGGCTGAGGCTGAGCCGATTTGTGAACTGGCTCTTGGTGCTGAGCCTCACCCTGAGCGTCCTTCTGAGCCTCGTGCTGAGGCCCGTCCTGCTCATTCGCCCGCTCTGGAAGATGGTCCTGAGTTTGTGTATGCCCTCGAACATTGGGCTGGCGTGGCAGTTGACTGGGCTGAGAATTGGTGCGGCGAATTGACAGGGGACTGCCAGTCCGTGACGTCGAGGGACTGGCTGCAGTCAGACTCTCCGTGCTCGCGTATGCGTAAACGCTTGAAGCCATCATTGAGGCAAGTGAGGGTGCCGAATGGCGATGGGAGGCGGCAGATTTGGCCAAGGATTGATTACCAACGTCCATGGTAAGATTCTCAGAAGTGTGGGCGCGGCGAGTTGACCGCACGTCACGGTCTGGCCGAGGCGACGAGCTGCCCGTGCGAGAAGACGCCGAGACACGTGCCTCTGCGCGCTGTTCCACACGCTGTGCCAGAACCAAAGCACGCTCAGCAATTTGTGCGGCCTCGGTGGTCCATGTTGAGGCCGCAGGTACCTCGCGTTGGCCTTGGCCTTTTGCGGCTGTGCCAACCCGTGATGCCGTTGTGCCTTTTCCTTCAGACTGATCTGCAGAAGCTCCTCGAGCGGGTGGATCGGCCATATTCCCCGATCCCGAGATTGAATCCCCTTGGCGTGGATCTTTGTGAGTCAAGTTGAAGCGCGCGATGCCAGCGTCACGCTGCAGCTGCTCCCACTGAGTACGGCCGATGCGCATTAGCGTCAAGTGAATCCTGGGTACTTGGCCATATGGCGTGCGTGACAACTGCAATGTCACCAGTCGGCTAAATTGCTCTTGTGTCAAACCTGCTACGTCGTGCTGACCAATTCGCAGAATCCGGTCGCCCACTTGCACCTATACACCAAAACCAGCATGACGAAGCGCGAATGGATGAGAGGGGGACCGAGGGAGTGAGAAAAAAACGTGTGTATGTGTGAGGCGGGGGCGGGGCTTGGTCGAAGAAGGAAAGGGTGCTGCTTATGCCAGCATTGCTGATCACTCTTCGGCCACTGACCTCGCCGGTGCGATCGGCGGCACCGCCAGGCTCCAGGTGTGCTACAAACAGCGCACTCAACCGGGTTGCTGAGCCTCCTGCCACACGCATCCCCAAACTCGTCTACAACAAAGCAAGCCGCGAATGCAGGGCGTAGATAGTCAGCTTCGCGGATGATGCATGCTCGCACTTATCGCTACTACAAAGAGACGCGCAAGTACCTGCTGGGGCTCGAGATCAATCTCAAACAACGGTCCGAACGTGGGAGGTTCACCATTATCACGCTGAGCGTAGATGGCATCCTCAAAAGACAAGGGACGCGAACGGTCTTGCGGACGCTGCTGGGCTGCCTGGAGGCTGGATGGACCAAGTGGGCGTTCAGAAGAGGCACTTTGGCCATCAGTTCTCGAGGCGGGGGCAGAGGGTCGATGGTGGTTCACAAGCTGGCTGCCATTCGGTTCAGGAGCACCCTCCCGGCGCGTGTTGGCCAGCAACCCAGAAAGGCGCGAAGACAGCTTGTTGGCCTGCGCTTCCAAGTCTTGGAGCCGCTGCTGTCGGCTGGACACCGTGGAAGCCTATGACGCCATGTTGTGTATGCATTTGAGCTCATGGAATTTGTCATTGAAGCTGCACATAGCTTAAAGGACGTCACAGCAATGCAGGGCATGCCCACCTGATCTCGGGCACTTGCTGCACTGGATGGCTGGACCGAGGGCTGACGTGACTCTTGATGCCTGGATTGCAGGCGCCCGGGCGCCTCAAAGTAGCCGCGATGGGGCAACGCGGTCTGTGAGTACTGGCCGCGACCCAGGGCACTGCTAGCACCACCCTGATACAATTGTACAGGCCTAGACCACAGCAGATTGTATTTCAAAAGACATCAGACCAAGCTCCTAGCAGCCATGGCCATGGTGCAGCAACTGTTGTGAGACTTACGTTTCCAAGGCTGGCTCGGGACTATCAGGAAGATCAAAATGTACGCTACGGGGCCGGGCACTGCGTCTGTTGCCGCAAAACATGTGTTGGCGCGCATTAGCGACCAGAACGAGGGAAAGAGGGACAAAAAGGGAGGGAGAAAAGAAGCGAAAGGAGAAAGCTTGATGGTGAGCGTGCGTCGCAGGAACGGCTTTGCTAGTGTGCCAATTCAACGTGGGCGGGAAACGCACAGTCGTGAAGGGTTGGTAGTAACGAGGGCACCATGAGCAGAGATGGCGCGCCGCAATGGGCGGCGCAGAGCAGAACGTAGCGGACTGATGCCGTTCACAATGGTGTTGGCCTGGAAAGAGCATCAGGGTGAGAAAGCACTCACATAGAGAGGAAGGGCGAAATCAGGCACGGGCATGAACGCACCACGGTCGTGGGATCAGCTGTTTCCATGTCACTCTCCGAGTCAGCACTGGTGTCACCAACAAAAGGCTGCGCCTGAGACCCCCAGAGCTGACGGGAAGCTGATGATTGCCCGGAGGGTGGATCGAAGGAGCGAGGCGCAGGCTCTGACCCAGGCCCGGGCCGGGCCGTTGCCGTTGCCGTTTGGCTCCCGGGATGGGACGCTGGTGCCGCGGGCAGGGCTTTGGAGGCTGCGGTCGTGGGGGTGGCTGGTAGCGGTTTGGAGCGCGGTGCTTGCTTGGGTGGAAGCAGAGAACTGGGGGAAATGATGGCGGCGGGGTTGTTGTTATTGTCCAGGGGGACCGTGAGTCCCACATCTGGCTTGCTGGTAAGCAAATTGCGCACGAGCTGGTTCGCGTTAATTCCAGAGGAGGATGAAACGATGCCATCGACGTCGAATTCTGATGGCTCGTCTTTATGTGAAAGCTGGTTTGGGTTTTGATATTGAAGGGCTTCGGCCACGGAAGGGACTGCCTCTGCACCAGAGCCGCGCATCTGCCAGGACACCACATCGGGCAGCTTGTACTATAGTTGCACCGCAAGATTGGTGCCCAAGCGGCCAATGAGCCACTGCATGGTTCCACGCCGAACCACACGGAACACGAGCCTACCTTCTTGACTTCCAGCACGATGTAGCGTACAACGGTCATGATGGTGTAGAGCTCTACACAAGCAGCGTGGTGGAGGGAAAATGACTTTGGGGCGCACAGCTGCGTTTTGCGAGTCACAATAGGGGCCTGATGAAGACTTGCGTACCATCAAGACTGCGATCGGCGGTAGCGACATCATTAATGGCAAGGATCTCATCGCCAATTTGCAAGCCGACGTTTTCGGCAGGCGAGCCCATCTCTATTTGGCTGACGTATATGCCATTGGCCTGCATATCACCCAAAACAGATTGGGGTGGAGGGGAAAGAAATCGTGCATCATTAGCAAAAGGAGAGCCGCGAGCACGGCCGGGCTGCAAACGAAGCGCAAAAGCAAAGCGCCTCTGGTACGAATACGCAATCTGCGGACGAGAGGGGAGCAAACACATACACGTTCAAAGCCATCGCCGACTTGCAGGTGCAGGCCAGCCCCGCGTCCATCTCGGCAATCAAGGTGCAGGGTCGAGAGCGATGATTCGGGCGAGTCAGCTCGGCTCGTAAAGGCAATTCCTCCCACTTTGCGAAAGGACTGCACGAGATCAGGTCAAGGTAAGGGATGCGCCGAGAGAGATGTGCCGAGGGGATGGATGAGGAGAAAGGACCGGGACAGAAGGGAGATAAAAGTGATGAGGAGAATGGCATGGGGATCACGTACGCCGTGCTGGACGGAGATTTTGGCTTTGCGGCGATCTTTCTTGTTTCCCGAGGCGGTCACATCCTGCATGCCGCTCCGAGCTTGCATGGCCGACTGCTCGGCTTGAAGCACGGTGGCGTAGGTCTGTGATGACGCGGCACGCATAAAAGGTGTGGTTTAAGTGATGAGCTGGTCGTTGGTTTGGAACGGTTAGAATCCAAGAGGACGTTCCCGAAGCATCATGCCAAGCTAGCTGGGAGCCGATGGGATTGTCGACCTCACCTCGGCATCGAGACCACCGACGCGCCGCACGTCCCCGATCTAAGCCGAGAAGATGGGGTAGAGAAGAAGCATGATAGCGTGGTTGACAAGGCACATAACAATGAGACCGCAGACGAGGATTTGGATATCCGCCCTCGCACAAGGGAGATGCGTCCTGGCGGGCGTGAATGCGTCCCGGCCTGCGACGTACCATCTGATGGTGCGAGGCTTCTCGCAGCCGTGGTTGTCGACCTCGCCACAGCGCCATGGCGCTGGCCTGTGGGGCGCGCACAAAGCGCTCAACCGCAGCAGGCGCTCGACGAGCGGAGCTAGAACCGCACAAGATGAGCCGGTGTTTCCTTTGTCGAGCTTCGCCCGTGGAATCAGATCCACCCAGGCGAACTGACCAAGAGCCACCCAGCTCAACAGCAGCCCCACCACCAGACCAACAGCTACCAAACAAGGTGCCAAGACACACCCCACCACGCCGCAATACGATACAATCCAACTGCCGATCCGAAATATCCGACCCCGGCACGACGACGACATTCGATAAATCACCACGACGGTCAGTTGACGCAGCAGAAGAGAGAGGGACAGAGAGAGGGAGAGAGAGGGACAGAGACAGAGACAGAGACAGAGACAGAGAGAGGGACAGAGACAGAGAGAGGGACAGAGACAGAGACAGAGACAGAGACAGAGACAGAGACAGAGACAGAGACAGAGACAGAGACAGAGAGAGGGACAGAGACAGAGACAGAGACAGAGACAGAGACAGAGACAGAGACAGAGACAGAGACAGAGACAGAGACAGAGACAGAGACAGAGACAGAGACAGAGACAGAGACAGAGACAGAGACAGAGACAGAGACAGAGACAGAGACAGAGACAGAGACAGAGACAGAGACAGAGACAGAGACAGAGACAGAGACAGAGACAGAGACAGAGACAGAGACAGAGACAGAGACAGAGACAGAGACAGAGACAGAGACAGAGACAGAGACAGAGACAGAGACAGAGACAGAGACAGAGACAGAGACAGAGACCGAATTCTTGGTAGGGTTAAGAAGAGATGACAAAAGGGGCAAAAGGTGAAAAATAACATGAGAAATCAGTGCGGAGTATGGGCGGGATGGACGGTGAGAAACAGGTGCGGGCGTGGATGCGATGGACTGTGCCGTCGGCTCACGGTGGCATCGAGACGGCAGGCTGCGCCTGGCGCCAGTGCGCTGCGCTGCCGTTTTTGTGTCGAGTGCGATGACGTGCCAGTCCACTCGCCTTGACGCACAATTATCAGTTATTGTACGTGTATTCTTGGTTATTGCAGCTTTATACGTCACGCTTATAATAGTTTGTGTAGTATGTACAATACTTGTTGTCGCGTGCTTCATGTTCAAGGGTAACGTCCGCGTAATGTGTGTAGAGTGTACTTATTGACACATTTTCTCAAACGCTGGAAAAAGACTTTTTTGTCAGACGAAATTGCCTTCAAAAGGGGGGTAGTGGATGTGGTGGAGCTTAATTTTTGACCCCAGGACCGTAGCAACCAACACCGATAACGATGGTTCGTTCCCAGCTCGGGTCTTGTGCCGGTCCGCCGTGATCGCTCAGACGGCAGCGCGCGTGCATCTCGTCGCCTGGGGGACTGCCACTGGTTTTGGGAGCTTGTGACAAGAGGATGGTCGGGGGCTATTTCATTTGTTTGGCCCATGATCTTGTCCTTGTGTGCCCCTCACGTCACGAATGGCCTGCTCACAGTCGAAGGGTACCTCGATCAAGGATGCGATCAAGCAATGGGTCAGTCTTCTGCTCTTCTAAAGTTGTTCTTGCGCTCACCCCTAAGCGGGCGCAAGAAGGACAACACACGCATACCTGGCCACGCAGGCTCGCCAACTCAAACGTGCTTTGCCCGCACCATCATGCGACATACGCCACCCCCGTAGGAGGAGGCCAACGGCAAGTCCGTGGCCGAGGAAACAGTGGTCAAGCTGATCGGCAAGCTTCCCCCCATTGAGAAGATGGATGCGGCGCTCTCCCAGCTGGCTCATGTCGAGTGCGTCCTGTGCCTGGGCTATGGACGAGACCTCATTGCTCGGGGCTTGGGCTAGCTCACGCATGCGCCTTAATTTGCCCGTGCACAGACAACTCTCCCTCTCGACCAACTGCATTGAGAAGATTGGAAACCTCAATGGCTTTTGTACGTTCCACTCCCCATCATACGCACGGACGCTGCGTGCCTGGCCCTGATGACCGGCTTTGATCCGCCTCGCCGTCTTTTTTCGTTTTGCGCCCTTGATCACGATCAACAGCCAATCTCAAAATCCTTTCCTTGGGTCGCAACAACATCAAGTCGCTCGCTGGTCTCGTAAGTGCTGGTTCGCAACTCAGGTGGTAACCCAACGATCTTTTTTTGACGCCTCGACTCACCCTGCTCCTGCATCGACATAGGACCCTGTGGCTGGAACGCTGGAGGAGCTTTGGATCAGCTACAACAACTTGGACAAGCTCAAGGGCATCGAGGTGTTGCAAAAGCTCAAGGTCTTTTTCTGCTCCAACAACAAGCTAGCTGATTGGAAACAGGTGCGCTCTCCTGGCCATCCCCGAAAGACTTGCGACCTTTGTGGACAACTCTCACTGCAAAGCCCCAAACTCGCTCTGATCCCTTGTCCTGTGTGTTGTGCCACTTGCAACAGATCGAGCTGCTTCGCCAGCTCCCGGCCCTTGAATCCGTCGTGCTCATGGGCAACCCGATCCAGGAGAAGCACGCGGAATCTGGCGGTAAGACCAGCAACAGGGCGATTGCCTGAGCTCGCGGTGTCCCGCCTGGCTCTCAGCCCTCGCAACAGGCTGTTCTTTTCACGTGCCTTGTCCTTGACGCGCAGACTGGACCCAGCTGATCATGGAAAAGCTGCCACAAATCAAGAAGATTGATGGCAAGCCCATTGTGCGCGGTGGTGAGGAAGAGAGTGAGGAGGCTGCTGAGTAAATGTTTGTCTTGTTCAGTCCTGCTGCTGACTCCAAAGCGGCTGCAATCCTTCGCCCGTCCCTTGTCTGTCTCTGTTGCTACAATATTGGCGCCGCGCGCCAACACGACTGTTTTTGCCCACTCTGGATATGCTCGCTGACCTGCGTCAAACGCTGCCCCACTCGCTCTGCCCTGACGCTGGCGTCAACATGCCACTATTGGCTCGGCGCCCAGCACTTGTCCCTGGGCCTGTGAGAAGTGTTGATAATTAAAAGTGAACAAAGCTATATGCGGCATTGGGCTTCCGCCCCTTTTCTGAAATAAGCTTTCGCAGCTATCACAAAAAAAAAAAAAAAAAGAAAAAAAAAAGAAAAAAAAAAAAAAAATCCAATTGCATGTGAGCTCTGCTCAATTCTGGCCAGACTGTCATGCCCATGCCTCAAATTGGACGTGTCCTGCACCACAAAGTCCCTGGACCAGCTAGCACCTGGTCATGTTTCAGCCTTCTCGGCTTGTGACTTCTACAACAACCAAGAGGAAGTTACAATGGACTGATCAAGGCGCCTCATCAAAAACACTTTTAACGCCGTCTGGCCGCGTACCTCAATGCTCTGTTGCACTTGCTGTGTCAAGAGCCGTCGCAGACTTGTGATGACGCCTGGTTGGAACCACCCGTCTGATACCTGCATGAACACCGTTCTGACATGAGCCGAAGAAAGTCTTGCCGCTGCAAAAAGAGCCATCTCAGCGCGAGAACGGACATGACATTTGCTTCGCAGCGGCCGCTTCTGAACGAGAGCCTGAATGTCTTCATCATGCAGGTCGCAAATCATGTAGTGGCACTACATGCAACCCCAACATGCCAAGAAGAGATGAGTGAAATGGATGCGCTCGAGTCGGAACAAGGTGTGAGAGTATCACAGCACCTGACGCTGTTGGGGGATAGTGCCCTTGGTATAGCTGCATCCCAAGCACGAGGGCCACAATTAGCCGCCAAAAGACGGACAAGCACACCAAGCAGGAGCAAGATGTAAGCGAGAGCGAAGAGACGTGGTCCACGCCCGTGCCAGCATGCAGCAACACAAACATGTGTGAGTCGTTGCCTTGTGCAATCGCTGCCTGACCGGTGGCTCGCGCTAGCGAACTGCGCTTAGCAGCAATCGCCTATCAAGGGCACAGATTTCAAATCAGCGTGAGCTTGACGGGGTCCATGGATAGACAGCGGCACGAGCGTGTACAAAGAGCTCCAAGGTACGTTGTGGTTGTTGCGTTGTGAGCGCCAGTCGACAGTCTGAAACTTGTGTGCCTTGGGATCTGCTCGTGGGTCGTACCCTAAAACAGGAGTAACCGCCATCGCCATCGTGATCGTTCAACGTGCGAAATCAGAGGAGTGCTTCTACCATGGACTCTACCATTTGTACGTACCGTAGGCAATGTGTAAGCTTCGCCAGGGTCCAGATTTGAAGTTGTAAGCGACCGAGCGGAGGGGCCTGCCATCACCAGACCCAAAGCCGGCCAAATTAAAGGACGTTGATCGAGCAACTACAAAAACGTGACGGAGACTTGAACCCGTACACTTTGACGAGCCATCCCATGGTACTGTGATCCACGTCGTGTTGAAGCTCTTCAGTGATGCCCTTGAGGGGCCAAATGGGTTGACGCTTGAAGAGCTGGTGTTGAAGCACATGGTCGGAAACAGAAACCGCATGCGTTTGAAACGGGGCAAAAATTGCAAGCGTGTGGGTTCAGCAGGCCTCGATACCTCTTTGAGTCGCTCATAGGCTGCGGCTCGGGTAGCGTCTGTTAGCTCAGTTGGGCTAAGCTCCATCGCCGGCTCTGCCGGAACGGTTTCTGTGCCAGCCCAGCCGCAGCCCATCAATAAAACACCAAAGATGCGGCGGGAGACCAAGGGTTCAACAGGGTGCAAAGACGCACCAATGTCAAAGTGAACCTGTCCTGGTTTTTGCTGCGTTTTTCGAACATGACGCTGTTCAATCTAGTCAAGGGGAACAAAGCAGTTGGCAGGCCAAACCCGTGAGCTAGCGCTGTGCTGTCCAAGAGAGAGGGGGGAGAGCAGAGCGAGAGGAGAGAGGTACTGGGAGAATGGTGGCTTTGCTGACTCACCGTGACGCGACCCTTGATGGGGTTTTCTTGGAAGCTATAGCGCCAAGCAAGACAGGGAAAGAATCAGCAAGGATGGATCACATGCAGGAATTTGGGCCCAGCAGCGTACTTGTACGTGTTTTTCGGCTGCGCGGGACAAAACACGGGTGGAACCATGTCGTTCTCCACCTCTGCCTCCAGCCAACCGGGATGTAGGATGTCTGGCATCCAAAAGAGTACAAACATGAGGTGAAGATTGAGTGCGGCGACCAGTAAACGGTTGTGCACTAATGCACGCCGTCTCACCGTCTTCCGGGCGCGGAGGTTGAAACAACGGCTGGTTCGCAGGTGGAAGGCCTGGGATGTACTGGAAATCGGCCGGCTCTGTGCCCAGTCAGAGGACGCGGAAGCCATGAGCACTGAAGTCTTGCAGCGGCCTGAGCTGAGGCAGGCGCACAGGCCTTACCTTTGAATTCAAACTTGGCCTCAACCACACCCACGGGATCGACTCGTACGTCAGAGGCGGCGCTCAGCGGCGCATTGCGCCGGCGCGTCACCTGTACAAGAAAGAAAAGTGAGTGCTGCCAGCGCGAGACAGAGAGGCACGAGACAGAGGGGCACGAGACAGAGGGGCATGAGGCTGGTTGGGGTTTGTCGGGAGCTGCAGAAGGGCCAATCGCACTTTGAGAAGCAGGTGGTGGTTGGGACTTCGCGTCGCAGCAAGCGGATGTGCGTAAGGATCGTCGGGCCGCAGCGCCAGGGTCAGCTTGGCCTTGTCATCGCCGCTAAGCGCCGCCTCGGCCACGGCTGACAAACCGCCCAGCGCATTGATGGCATTCCTGATCAAGCAGTCGATGAGCACGGCAAGCACCAAAGCACACGCGCCTGGCCGTCGACAAGTCATCTGCTCACTCT